GGTTGTGGTGGTGGTGGTGTGGTGGCGGTGCGGCGCGGTGGTGGCGGGCGGATGGGCGCGCGAGAAAAAGGCCCGCGCTGGGGCGAGAACGCCATCCTGAACGACGGAGGCCAAACACCGATCCGAAAATGAGGCCCACGCTGCAGCGGGAGCACGATTCGGAACGATTCGGGAGCAGAAATGAGGCCGGCGCCTCAACGAGAGCAGCATTTTGGGAAAAAATGACGCCGGCGCCTCAGCGAGAGTCGTTTCCCGGGATTTCCCGGGAATCTTGTGTGTAAAAAAACAATACGCGGAGGGTGCGCGGCCATCACCCGGACGCCATCAGGGGAAGAGGGAGAGTATTTTCATATTGAGTAATTGTATACCGGTTCGAACCCCCCCCCTCGAAAGACGGGTGGGGTCACTACCGGTTCGAACCCGTCCCCCTCGAAAACCGGGGAGGTTCACTACCGGTTCGAACCCTTCACCCCCCCACGCTCACCGCCAGCAATCGACTCCTGGTCCCTACCACCGTCCGCCGCACCACATCCCCCACTGCTGTCCCCAGCACCACTGTCCTTTCCACCACTGTCCCCACAGGTTCCACCACCGTCCCTACTGTCCCCACCAGTGCCCTCCCCACTGTCGCACTGACCCCACTGTCCCCACCACTGTTCCCACCACGGTTCCACTCTCCCCCACTTTCTCCACGGCCCCAACCACTGTCCGACTGTCCCCACTGTCCCCACTGTCACATTGTCTCCTCCGCTGTCCCACTGAGCTGTCCCACTGTTCCCACCACTGTCCCCACTGTCCCCACCACTGTCCCCACTTAACCTCTGTCCCATTGTCCCACCGCCGTCTTCGCCACCGCCCTCACCACTGTCCCCACCACCACTGTACTCTCCACTGTCCCACTGCTTCCACCACATTCCCACTGTTCCCACACCACTGTCCCCCACCACCACCGTCCCCACCACAGTCCCACTGTCCCCACTGTTCCCATATTGTCCACCACCGTCCCCACCACTGTCCCACTGTCCCCACTGTTCCCACCATTGTCCCTGCTGTCCCCACCAGTGCCCCCAGCAGTGTGTCAATGTCCCCACTCTCCCCGGCCCGGCGGCGAAGGGGGGGGGTGGTTCGAACCGGTAGTGACCCCCCCCAGGTTTTCGAGGGGAGGGGGGGGATTCGAACCAGTAGAGACCCCCCCCGGTTTTCCGGAGGGGAGGGTGGGGGTTCGAACGCCCCCCCCCCCCTTTCATGATGGACGATGGACGGGGGGGGGAGGGGTTCGAACCGGTAGTGACCCCCCCCGGTTTTCCGGCGGGGGAGGGGGTTCGAACCGGTAGTGACCCCCCCGGTTTTCTGCCAGCAGCGGTAAAACACTTTCAAAGACCTCGAGGACCCCTCTCTGCTTCGACGTCCGTTTCGTCGGGCTCCTTACCGTCCTTCTCCGTCGTCGCCGTCTTCGTCCATTTTCTTTTTCTTTTCCTCCTCCTCCTCCGGTTCGTTCCTCCTCGTACTCGCCCTCCTCCATCTTCTCGTCGTCCTCGCGGTGAATTTCCTTCTCGTTGTCCTTCTGCACCCCTCCCTGCCCTCCCCGTATCCACGCTGCCATCCTCGACATTCGCCGCCTCGTCGTCGCCATCATCCCTCTCTTCTTGACCCCCCTGCGAGCCCAATGGACAAGATCGGCGCCTCCCGTTCTTGTCCGCCCAGATTTTTGTTCATAGGGCAGAGTGATAGACCCCTCTCGGAAGGGGAAGAAGATGGGTGGAAGATGAAGCTCTATACGGTAGGTTAGTGTCGTGTCGACCGGCGGCGACCCCGCCAGCGGCGTTCAACCTTGAACGCCGCGGGCGACCCAGAATCGTTCGATGTGGAACGATTTGGACGTTTCGGAAACGGCCGATCGTTCAGGGTTGAACGATCCCCGCGGTGTCAGAAACCAACGCCGGGGTCGACACGACGCGAACCTGCCGTAAACCACTCGCGCCCTAAAGGGCTGATGGGACTCGGGGATTCGCCCATGCGGGGCCCATTCGGACGCACCCGTGTCGAGGCTGGACGCCACCCCCTTTCGTGCCCCTCCGAGTGTGGCATGACACTGGTGGTCGATTCGGACGCCCAACGACGCCGGGGATTGGGCTCGCCAGACCCCCTTTTCCAGGGGAGATGTGACAGGGTGCAGGGGGGTGGGGGGGAGGGAGGCGACGGGAGAGGGGAGGGCGGAGGCAGGGGGGAGGAGCGCGGCAGCGATGGGGGCGAGAGGGGACGGCGATCGCAGGAGGGAGGAGCTGCGCTTGGAGGTGGGGGAAGGGGAGGGCAGGGCATGGAAGGAGCGGGAGGACAAGGGGGCCCACAGGAGGAACTGGTGAAGGAGGCGGAGGTGGGGATGAGTAAGGATCGACGATCGGTGACAATCTGTGGTCCTCTCGAGGAGGAGCAGGAAAAGGGGGATGGCAATGACGACGACGATGATGATTATGATGCTGCTGATGCTGATGATGATAATGCTGATGATGATGATGATGGAGATGGTGATGATGACGATGACGATGATGATGATGCTGATGATGATGATGATGATGATGATTATGATGATGCTGATGATGATAATGACGATGATGGTGATGGCGATGGTGATATGATGATGACGATGGTGGCGATGATGATGATGATGATGATGATGATGATGATGATGATGATGATGATGATGATGATGATGATGATGATTATGACGATCATGATGCTGATGCTGCTGATCATGATGCTGATGATGCTGAGGATGCTGAGGATGCGGGTGAAGATGATCATGCTGGTACTGATGATGTTGATGATGTTAGTCATTGCAATGATGATCAGGCTGATGATGTTGATTATGATGATTATGATGCTGATGCTGATGATGCTGACGCTGTTGCTGCTGCTCGTGATGATGGTGATGATGCTGCTCACGGCGATGATGTCGCTAACGATGAAGATGATGCTGATGCCGATGATGGCGATGATGCTGATACTGATAATGATGCTGATGATGCTGATGCTGATGATGCTGCTGATGATGCTGATGATGATGCTGATGCTGCTGTTGATGGTAATGATGCTGATGCTGCTGATGACGATGCTGCTGATGTTGATGCTGTTGATGATGATGATGATGATGATGATGATGGTGGTAGTGGTTGTGATGTTGATGATGGTGGTGTTGATGATGATGGTTGATGATGAGGCTGCTTATGATGCTGATGCTGATGATCATGCTGATGAGGATGATGTTCATGCTGATGATGGTGATGATGATGATCTTGCTAATGCCGATGCTGATGCATCTGCTGGTGATGATGCTGCTGGTTATGATGATGATGATGATGATGATGATGATGATGATGATGATGATGATGATGATGAAGATGAGGATGACCATGATAATGGTGATTTTGCTGATGCTGAATCTGATGCTGCTGCTGATGATGATGATGCTGTTGATGCTGATGAGGCGGCTGCTGCTGCTGCTAATGACGATTAAGATGATGACGATGATGATGCTGATGATGATGATGATAATGGTGGTGGTGATGGTGGTGGCGATGATGATGATGATGATGATGATGATGATGATGCTGATGCTGATGATGATGATGATGATGATGACGATGATGATGCTGATGATGATGATGATGCTGATGATGGTGACCATCACCATCACCATCACCATCGTCATGACCATCAGCACGTCATCGGCATCATCATCACCATCACCATCAGTATCACCATCGTCATCGTCATCGTCATCATCAGCATCATCATCAGCTCAGCACGGGATGCGAGCTCCTGAAGACGAGAGTTTGGCTTGGAGGGTGCAGTCGGAGCTCGCGAGATGCTGAAGAAAAGGCGAGGGAACGAGATGGCACACGAGAGAGCGGGTCGAGACGAATTGCCCATCAGGCGACTGCAGCTTTGGTCGGTCTGGCCTCAGCAGCGTTGTACACAGTCAACCCGCACAATAAGGGTGGACAGCCTTCCCAAGGGTACCATCCTTGCCTCTCTGGCCCACCTTCGGCCACCTTCGCTGGACGCGCCCCGCTCGAAAAGCTTCGAAATGGCCTTCCAAGTCCCTTGCATCCTCAACCGTGCGTCCCTATTCTACGGGTTGACTTTTAGCCGAGCGGGGCCGTCGCCGTCCTGAACGGCAGTCGACGACGGTGCCACTCCCCAGTTTGTCAGCGATGCTCGTGCCCCTTCCCCCCCCCTTTGTCCGAGAGGAAAGCCTGGGAGGGCCAGGCGGAGAGGGACGGCCAGGATCCCCCGGACCGCCCTGGGGCCACCGGGGCAGACCTTTGGATCGGAGGTGGATAGACCTCCTACCCTGACACGTCGATTAAGGAATTGGCCGTGTTCGGTTCGCGAGAGGGCGTCGCGGCCGTCATCCAGGCCGCTTTCACTAAGGGGAGGTTTACCAAAGGGAGGTTTGTCCACCGCCGATTGGAGCTCCTCGATGACATTCCCCCCTCCTCCCTCCTTCTCCCTCCCCCCCCCCTTCGTCATTCCTCGGTGCAGGCCATTGCCCAGCGCTTGCTGAGGGTGGCGAGAGGCCCCGATTTTGACGAGCGGGTGACCCATGGGGGGAGGAGTGTCAGTGGCGTCGGGCTGAAGTGTACTCCACCAGCGGCCAGCCCGACGCTACAGAGAAACAGCGGGGACAGAGGTCCGTAGGCAAGTAGTCCAAACAGTCCTTCGTCATTCCTCCTTCCCCACTTCCCCCCTCAGGAAGTCTCCTCCCCCCTTTGTACGTCCCCAGAGGCTGCTCGGGGTGAAAGGACGCACAGGGGCCCGATCCTCGATCCCTCCCCCCCCAGATCCTCGACCCTTCGATCCGCGATCCCTCTCTAATCGATTCCTCGATCCTCGATTTTTCCCCCTCGATCCTTGACCCCATCGACGCCTTAGTCCCCTTTAGCAGGAGGGCGGCGAGAGGCAGGGGTCACGCTTCTCTTTCCGGCCACGGCGCCCAGCGCATCCTCGACATGCAGAACAGCATGCTGCCGGCGAGCGTGTCGTCGTCGTCGTCGTCGTCGTCGTCGTCGTCGTCGTCTTCCCCTCTTTGTGTGGAGGGAGACGAGGAGGGGGAGAAGGAATAGCAAGAGGAGGGGCGGGAAGAGGAGGAGGAGGAGGAGGAGGAGGAGGAGGAGGAGGAGGAGGAGCTTCAGAGCGCGGGGCGGCTGCGAGGCCCCGGGTAGTCTTAGTTGAGGAGAAGCGAGGCGCAGAGATGGAGGACGAGGACGAGGATCGGCCAGCCCACAAGGGCCAGGTGGGCGCACTACGCCCACGAGGTGATCATGGGTTCCACCGCCAGCGCAGCGGTCGAGCCACGGGCCGCCAAAGGTGCCCGAGGAGGTGGCGGTGCCTGCGGAGCACGACGAGGCCGAGACGGCGGAGGAAGAGGACGGCGACGACGAGCCCGAGGCGGAGGCAGAGGTTCCGTGTGCTAGCAGGGCGGAGGAGACCAGTGAGTTGGAGCTTTGGGATGCCGCGGAGGTGGAGGACGCCGAGGAGGGTTCTGGCGGGAGGGCGGACGGCCCAGCTTCTCGCAGGATGCGCGAGCTCGCGCTGCACGCCCAGGAGGTCTCCACGTATCCTGGCTCAGATGCGTCGGCAGGGATTCGTGCTGCCAACGTGCCCAAGGAGGCCCAGGAGGAGAAGGAAGTGGCGGATGCGGCGGAGGAGGCGGAGGAGGAGGAGGAGGAGGAGGAGGAGGAAGTAGCCGAGGAGCTTCTGGCCGACAGTTCCGCTGTGAAGGACTCGATCGACAGCACCACGAAGACGACGGGTGTTCCGCGGGTTTCCGCGAGGACATCTCCCAGGATTCACGCGCAGCCTCGGCACCGGAGAGCTTCGTCGTTGCCTCGGAGGTCGTGGCAGGCGGCTGCACCGCCGCGGTGCCACCGCCCCCGCGGGCGCGCGCCAGCCGAGGTTGCCCCCGAGTCCAGGGCCCTGTGCACGGACCCCTCTCGTGACGGGTTTGGCCTCCGGCTTCGCCTCCCACGTCTCGCAACGACAAGCAGCGGCACCTTGCGGTTGTTCTGGCGCGCGCGCTCCGTTGTGCGTGTTTCTTGCTGCTCTCGGCGGCGGACCCCGGGGTGAAGTGAGAAGGGGCGGGCCTTCTTAGAAGGCTCGGAAGTCCCCCGGCCTTCTGAGAAGCTTGCTAAGATGTCCCCGACGGCACAGAAAACTCAGAAGGCGCGAGGGGTTCTGAAAAGTCCCGCCGCCCTCTGAGAAAGCCTTCTCCTTCTCATGTCCCCGCCTCGCTCGCCGCCAATACTTGTGGTCATCTTCTCCATGTCTGCAGCCTGGAGGGCCTCTGGTCATATAGGGAAAACTCCCTACAACGACGAAGCGCTCCCCGCGCTGTGGACCCTGTCCGTTGGTTTTTTGTTCCTGTCCGCCACGGGCTACGTGCTGTGGCTGCTCGTGTTCATGGTGGTGGGCGCATTGGGTTCGCTTGAGTACGCGAATAGCCTCCTCCTGGACGAGCGCAGCTCCCCCATTGTCGTCGTAGTTGTCCTCCTCCTCCTCCTCCTCCGCAGCAGCCAGTTTGGCGCAAAAACATGGAAGCGTGGGGTGTCTCCACCACACAGGGATACCGCTGGCCCGCGGAAGTCAGAAAACTTGCTTCCGGCACCTTCTTCGTGAGCTCCTGCAGGGGCTGCAGTCATGGCCAAGTCGCATGGCAGCGGCGGCTACACGGTGTGCGGCGCCTGCGGGTATGGGGAGTGGGGCAACCGTTTTTGGACGCAGAAGGGCTACTGCAGGTGCGGCAGCTGGGTCGGCTTGTCGGGCCGCAAGCAGCAGCATCCGTCGCCCGCGCCGCCGTGGTGGTCGTCGCAGGAACACGTGGTTTCGAGCATAGGAGCTGGTCGGCAATGGCGAGGCGCTGGGCCAAACCGTGGAGGCGGCGCTCCAGCAGCACTTCGTCAACCGCCCTCCCCCGCCGCCGTCTGTTGCCAAGGCCCCGTCGCTAGCGGCAGCAGAGGCTCAATGCGGCCTCCCCAAGCAGGACAAGATTGGCAAAATGGTCGGGCGCTGCAACCGGGAGCTGGCGACGGCGAAGCACAGTGTCCAGGAGGTGCAGGCGTGCCTGAACGGCCTTGCGGAGGAGCATCTTCAGGCGACGATGGAGCGCGAGGCGGCGGTCGCAGCTTTGGTGGGCAAAGATGGCTCTTCCACGCACGCACTTCCCGAGCGCCTCGCCTTCAACCTGGGCCCGTCCCTCCTCGCCGACATGGGCGACGCCGACGAAGACATGGCTGGTATAGAGACGTTCCAGTCAGCCAGGCGCTTGTGGCTGGAGGAGCAGGAGACGGCCTGCAACACGCTCGCGGAGCGCGCCGAGCTGCGCGAAAGGGCGCGGCTGGAGGAGGAGGAGGCCCAGTTCATTTAGGCACAGAAGGAGGTCACCCGCATCAAGGGAGTGGAGGCAGCAAGGCACTCCCGCGCGCGGCAGGACCTCCGGGCCAAGGCGAAACTCAGGCAGGCCGCCAATAAGAGGAGGTCCGCTGAAGGAGCGGTGACGCCGAGGCGGCGCCTGCAGGCTCGGCGGCTGCGGCGGCTGCCAGCCTGTGCGCGGCCGAGTCCCCTGTGCCGCCCACCCCCGTGGCCTCTGAGGCTGACGGAGCGAGTGCCGACGCAGACACGGGCCCCGCGGGGGTCGACGGCGGCCCCGCTGCGGACGCGCCCATGCCCGAGCCTTCCCGTGATCGCAAGGCCCGGCACCTCGCGCGCACTGAGTCTGCGCGTGAGAAGGCCGCCAAGGACCATGCTGATCAGCTCGCGGCCAGGGCCGGCGCCAAGGCTGATGCTGCTGCTGGTTCTGATGGGCCTGCTGCTGCTGCCAAGGCCGGCAGCATGATCAAGCCGAAATCGCGTGTTTCACCTGCGCGCGGCGCAGGTCCCAGGGGAGGCGGCATTGGCGTCGGGGCCGCTGTCCCAGGATGTGAAGGCCCGAGGACCTCCTCGTCTCGGGCCCAAGGGGCCCTCAGTGTTCTTCGCCAGCGTTTAGCGCTGGGGTCCACACTCAGAGAGGTACTTCGGTGAGTATTTTGACGATTGCGGTGTGGTGGCAGCTGGTGAGAATCATCTCAACGATGTGAAGCATATGGATGCAGCGCGCAACTAGGCACGATCGGGCTGACGGGCGTCTGGCGCTGCTGCAGAGGGCTCAACGAAGTCGAGCGCGGGCGCGAGAGAGGCCGAGCTGATCGCAGCCAGCTGCGACAAGGCGACCTCCTCGTTCAGTCACTCGGCAGCTGTCGCCCAGAGAGGCCTTCCAGAGGTTCGCGCCGCTGACGCTGCGTCTCAAGCAGGGCAATCTTGCGGTTGTGGGCGCGTATTTTTCCCCTGGCTGCGGCGTGGGCGGACCCCGCCCTCGGGGTTCCAGTCGTTGGCCGCTTTCCTCGCAAGCCTGGCGGGCCCGCGGGTCGCGCTGGCCGGCTGGAACGCCGTGCCGGAGGAGCTCATGCGCACGGGGTTCCCGAGGAAGGTGCTGGGCGAGTCGCTGCCCCCCCCTGGCGAGGAAGCCACCTGCTTCTAGGGCAGTGGCAGGCTCATCGACTACGGCTTGCACCCGCACGGCGCGGGCGACCTGGTCGAGCTGTAGACGGTGCTGGTCGTGCCCTGGCAGGTGCGCGCGGCGCCGCGGCTGCGGGCGGCTTGAGGCGGGCGTCGCTCTGCCGACGATCCCGGCGCTGCCGAGGCCCAGCCGGCAGCCCGACCCAGAGTCGAAGGCCAGGAAGCGGCGCGCTGCCAATCCTGCTTGGCGCCGCGATGCGCTGGCAGCGCGCCTGCAGGCCGACTTCGTGGCGACGCAGTCTGAGTCGGATGCAGCGCTGCTGGCTGCTCGCGCGGAGGGGGGCCGAAGCCCGCGAGGCGGCGGTGCTGGGCCGCCGCGGCCGGGCCGTGGTGTTTTTTCTGCGGAGGCGAGCTGGGTGGCGCCGCGGGCGCCAGGCCTCCGTGTACCGTTTTGGCGGGGCAGGGGGCGGAGTGACGCTGGCGGCTGGCCCGACCTGAATGGGGCCGCAGGGCGCCGCCCCCCGAGACCCATGTCGCGGGACAGACAGTTGGCCGCAGACTGTGATGACTTGCGGCAGCGACCGACGTGCGATGACGGCGCCTTCCTCCAGCCTGGAGGTTGGCGCCCAGGCCCAGAGCGTCGACCGCGAAGCGCGCTTCGGGAAGCTCGGGGCAGACGCTGGGCTTGACACGCGTGCTGAGGGCGACGCCCGTGCTGCTGCTGCTGCGGCCTGGGGGGGCTGCGGGCCTGGCGAGGTCTTCTTCGGCGCAGGCGTGGGCGCGCCGGTCTTCGCACGTGGCTTCGACCTGATGCATTGCGACATCGGACGGCAGGCGCCGGCGCCGACTTCCAGCGCGTTCGATCCCGCAGCGTGCGAGCTGTTGTCCGTGGCGGCGGTCGGGCCCCCTGAGGAGGCAGCCTGCGGGGAGTCGCCTGTATATTTTGTGCCATCCGAGTTTCGGCATTCTCAGAGGTCGGATCCCGCGCGGGCGGACGTTTGGAACGTGGCCATGGAGCGGCTGGGTGCGCATCCCCTGGTGCGCGTGGCAGGCGATGGCGTGTCCGTCGCCAGCGCGTGCCTTGCCATTTGGGTCCCCATCGCCGAGGATGTCCTCCTGGAGGCCAGCAAGGTGCCCGACGGTCAGCGTAGTCGGCATCGTGGAGGCGCTGTTGGCTACGACTTCAGCTGGCCCCCGCTCAAGCCATCGCCTGGTCGCGCGCGTCTGCGACGTCAGGCGGCGGAGCGCTGGTCGGTGGCCATGGCAGTGCTGAAACATGTTGCACGCATTCGCCGAACAAATCACATCATTGTCGGCATGGGCAAGCTGGGCCGCTGTCTGGGGATGCTGCTGCGTGAGGGGGCCGACGTCGCGAAGGGCGCGGCTGGTCACTTCTCTCGAGCTGCAGGGCCTGAAGTTCCGCCTGCGTGGGCTCACGTGGCCTCGTGGCCAAGGGCGCCCTGGATATCCCCTTCGAGGA